GACTTCTCTCCAGAATGTGTTGGACCCGCCTACTGTGACAGCAATCTTCTGGGTATAGTGAGCAGCCTGAGTCTCACTTAGCCCTCCAGGGAGGTAGATAATTCTGGAGGCCGAGAGTGGGTCAGCTCCTAGTGGCCAAAGGCCACAGACACAACGGGGCAAAGTCTAGGCTGTAACCAAATGGAGAGTGGGTTGCAATATTGTTTCTCTCTTCAGTCGAGCCTTACACTGATCCGAGCTATTCGAGACATTAAATATACCTGATGTTTGCATGCCGTTTACAAGTACTCTCAGACGCTCGATTTGTCGAAGCCACGTGAAGTTAAGATCTGTCATGTTTCTTTCAGAACTGAGGAAGCTCAGAAAAAAATGGCTTGTCCCAAAGTCTGGGAACTTAATAGCGTTTGTCACAGAGCAAGATTTCGTGCAAGTCTGTACTGGATTTATCCGAGGAAAGTGAACTACAGAGATGGAGAACGAATTTCAGTATAAGATGATCTCGATTGCTAGGTGTGTCCCATGGCAGCGGAGCGGAGTGGAGTGAGTTTTGGAGCCAGAACTAAAACTCTAATTCTGTCACGTAGTATTAGAGGAGGAAGCTTGGACATTTCCCTCATTCGTGAGAAACTATCTCAGAGGATTAAATGCTATAAAACAGTGACGAGACGCCTGCCATTAAGTAAATGCAGTATTCTATTTCACACTGCCTCGAACACGTGGATAAAAATATAGGATCTCTTGGCATTTGTTCACATTTTCCCCTATGTGATTTCCCACAACTTAATTTCTACCCTCACACGGACTAGAATGAGCTCGTCAGCGTCCTTCTGTCCCTCAAAGGCGTGATGGCAGTTCAAATACTTGAAATTAAACTATAGAAAAGGAGACCTCCCCTCTCGGCGGGCTAGCTGACGCGGGTCGGGACAATCTACCTTTCCCAGGCTGACCGGCCGCGAGACTCCCCAGTGGCCTGGCATCATGGAGATTTACCCAGCACGCCTGATTGAGCCTGGCCTGGCTGGGAGGATTACTTTTCATCCAGTGTTGAAATCACTTGAAATTCCTCTTGTTCATCCAAAGAGACAGGAATAAAAGAAGCAACTCATGGTCTTGCTGAGCTAAGATCTTTCTCGTTAGCCATCCTTTGCATCTTCTCCTCTCGATCTGCCGAAGATGGGTCGACCGGAGTAATATAAGAATCTCACGCACGAGGATTTTCTCTCTCATGCCCCACACGCGTTTCATCAAAAAATCAAATGATATTTATCTGTGGGCCTTAGAACTCTCTAGAAGGTTTTGAGTGGAGAGATGAAATTTTTGTCATTTTCGCTTTGAACATTCAAAGGGTTTCATTCTTGGGTCTGATGCTTGAAGCTGAGATAGGATGGGGCAGGAAGCCAAACCATTCTTTTCAAACACCCGGGCCTAAACACTATTGGTACACACACACACACACACACACACACACACACACACACACACACACCCACCCCCAAAATCCTTTTTTTCTCCTTTCCCTCTTCGCCAATCCCTTTCTCATCCTGACGGAAGGCCCCCGGCTTTATGCATTTCCATTTTAGTCCTCAGTAGGGGGAATAGAGGATTCACCAACAACAATCATTCTAAATGTTTCAGATATGTCTCCCTGAAATATTTACTTGTCTTCTCCTCTCGAATATTCACTGGTTTGACCAGCGGTCACCACAGTGAGTCACCCATCAGGCTGTACTCTACAGCAGCCTAAAATTACAGCAATTCCGGGGGCTAGGATTTACCTTTCGATTTTTATTAACACTCTGCGCGGTCCATTTTTAGGAGAATTCTCACCTCCCTCAAACATGATTATCTTAAAGCATGGAAGAACCATGCTTGGCCTTTGAGTTTGTGGTAATTTGCAAATATTTTCCAAATCACCCTCTCAGATCAATGCCAGAAGAATTCATCAACTCTTCAGCGTGCAATTCCTTAAGAGAATTCAGGGAAACCGACTCTCTTTACCCACAGAAAGGACATTTCTGGAGACACTGGGATGGAAGGCATCTTCTTTACGAAATAAGAGTTAGGGCCGAGGAATTAAATTCATGCATTTTAATTATATGCACGTAAAGAACTAAAACCTAAAGATCAAAAATCTCTTCTGGATTGTGGATGCTTAAGAAATATAGACTCCCCCAGCATCATTGTTATCCCACGTCGGGATTATAAAATACACACCTACAGCACTAGCCTAATGTCAATCCCTCCTCATTCGACCTGCTTGATGTCATGTCTGCACATTCAGATCCATACACGTTTATGTCTTTATTATTATGGCTAAGCGCCCATTTCCGCCTTCCCCTGATCTTTTTTTGAGGAGTTCCCTCACACTTCTTTTGAGGCATACTGCAAGTTTCTTGAAGAAGAAATTGATTGATACACAGCTCATTGCAGTGCTGGGAGCAAACTCCTTCGACCGGCTGCTTACACATCTTCCTGTTTCCTCCCATTCCATAGCTAGAACTTGTACTTTTTCTGGACCCTCTGCCATTTCAAGTGTGCCTCTCAGATATAAATATTCCTTCAGATGCAACTCGGCAGAGCTTACGCCAGGCTCTGTCAATTTCCAAAGCTTGTGCAGGTGTCTGCCCTGCAGCATTTGCTGAATATAAACACAAAATCCTGTGTGTGTGCGCCCGGGGAGAGAGGGGGGTCACTCCTTTTGGATTTAGCAAGTTTGTAACCAGTTATTCTCTCACAAAGAAGTTTTAGTCCTACCTTTCTTCATTAAACAAAAAGAGCCTAAAATACTATCCAGATAAATTGAAGAGCTTCATGTTAATAACTTTATCAATCAAAAATAGAGCTCTTAAGCGGAAGAAACAATTTAAGTGAGAAAAGCTTGAATGAAATACACCTCTAAGCATTCACAGAATTATCTACCTACCCCATAATTACAGATAAATATAACCAAACAAAACCTCTAGGGGTAGCCAGACCCAAATGTTTATTATTGCCTCACCTTTAACCAGGCAACTCTTTCCTGTTTCTCTTTATGTGGTACTCAGCCAACCATGGCGACGCAACTCACACCTCCCTCCTGCAGAAAGAAGCGACTCCTGGCTGTCTTTGAGCTCCTTCCTTTAACTCCCTAACACTTCAGCCTGTGCCTTACAATTCCAGCCGAGCATTGATTTCTTATGTGCATCCGAGCTCCTTTCTATACTAGAGAGCAGGCCCTTGCTTCCCTTGCTTTTCCATAATTCCTAGCCCGGAGTCTTCTCATAATATTGACTTCATGGAATTTGGGAACATGAACCCATGTGGGAAAGGACACAAGCTAACACCCGTCCCATCTCACGCAACCTATGGGAGCTCACCCCCTCTGACTCGAGGGTCAGTGAAGAACACAGAAACCTCAAATAAGGAAACTAAGCTGATGTAGACCCCCAGTCCAGGGTCTCGAGTTTAATTAATTGGTAGGAAATGATACACCTGAGGACTTTTAGATTCACGCTTGTGCCACTAGTTCACAGGCCCGACTGCAAACGACCTTTCCCATGAACGCCCTTGTTTACCGGTTGGCACCTTTCCCGCTGTGGTTCTCTCCCGAACACGACACACAGAGCCCTGCCCCTTCGTGGCGAAGCGTGGAGGCTTTGCTGTGCATGGGTTCAGCATCGCTGGCACTCCCGCTGGGAACGGCGTCGGCCCTGCCCTCTCTCCTCATGACTACATCCAAGGAGCGTGTGCTGGGGAGTCCTGTGACTTTTTAACCCGAGCAGTATTCGCCCATCGTCCGTGAGTGCTTGGGTGACTGCATCACTGCCCTGATGACAGCGAATGCGTGGGAAGCGGGTATCGGCTGTGCCGACCCCAGATCCAAGAACGTTAGTGGACACTTCAAAGCAGGAGGTAGCACCGCACGCCCCAGCTTCCCAAGTTTGGAAGTTTGGTGGGATTTCCACTGCTCCTTCTTTGCCAAGTATGGATGATAAATACTGCCTTTGACACTAAAATCGTGCCATTCAGGACATGTACAGTGGTCCCCCCTGATGCACAGGGACACAGTTTAAGACTCCCCCCCGCCCCCCAGAGGACGCTTGAAACTGTGGAAAGTACAGAACCCGATGTATGTTTTTTCTTAACAGTAAGAGATGAACAACCAATAATAGATCAACTATGACAACATATTGTAACGACAGTTACGTGAACGTGACCTCTCTCTCTCTCTGACAACTGAGATGGCCGTGACTCACAGGTGGGTAGTGGATACAGTGTGGATATGTTGGATGAAGGGATGATTCATGTCCTGGGTGGGGATGAAGGGGGACTTCCCGAGATTTCATCACGCTACTCAGAATGGCGCGCAATTTAAAACTTATAAACTGCTTATTTCTGGAATTTCCCATTTAATATTTTCCGACTGCGACTGACACGGGGAACTGAAACCATGGAAACTGCAGAGGAGGGGGGCCACTGTCCGCGGCCGTTTTCTCAGTGTCAAGGACACATGCGCACAACTCCCACCCCGATGTGGCCAGAGGCGCCGTGAGGGAGGCTCATAATCGGGCCTCTAAAGTGAAGGGCAATAGGCTTTGGAATGAAAAAGAGCTGGGTTCAGACTCCGTGTGCCGTTTGCTAAGTGGGTAGCAGGCCAAGTGATGAATTTCAGTGAGGCTGCTACCTTCTCTACCAAAGGGGAGTAACACCACCTCCCTCGACGGGGTTGTTGTGAAAAATTATAATATACATAAAGCCCCTGGCATATTGCTTCGACGTAGTAGATACTCAATAAATGTTAGTTACTATTTTTATTATCCAAGAGTTTGAATTAGCTAGAGTCCGTGATTTTAATTCACGGTTATCGTCCTCTCAGAAGAGCCATCCGGGACCAGAGTTAAAAAAATCTACTTATCCTGGGAGGCTGTTAATTAGTGGGTAGAAAAGGTTAGAGCACTGAAGTGGAAGAATATTGCCCCTGCCACCACTTCCTGCCACCCCGACATCCCCCCACCCTCCCGCCAATTAAACCTGCGTGCCCACTTGTCCACGTCTCCAGCGCTATCAATGAAAACGCCTGTGGTCTTAGAGGTGATCGAAAATTTAAGAATGGGAAAGCAAGGCCTCAGAGCACTAGGTAGATTCCATTAGAAAAGAAGGGGGTGGGGTAACTGCTACATTTTCTTGTCGTTGGCGACATAGTGGCTTCCATGTGCTGAGATCCCGATCTGATGAGAAGAAATGACTCGAAGGTCGTGAATGGACCTCACCGTCCACTGGGAAAGCTCCTGCAGCACCTTCAGGCCCCACAGCTTCTTCTCAAAGAGACCACCTTCTCCAGCAATGACGGGCAGCCCGTCGGCCTCGTTGTGGGGGATCTTGTGTTCCAGGAGCGCCATCAATTCCTCCAGCTGATAAGTGAAGGCAGCAACCTGGAGCAGAAGGGTGTGTATTGCTTGATGGAAGTCACCTTCAGCTGGAGAAAAATGCACTCGCTGGTCTTCTAAAAGCCTGGTCAACATCACGTGGAAGGTACGATAGGCTTGGAGGTTCTCTCGGAGTCTCTCGGCCTCAGTCAGCTCGCCCCACCGGTCAGTGCTCGCCGTTGGCACACCGTCCACAGAGTCCAGGTTTATGTTCTCGTTCAGGCCCTGATGCTTCACCTGGCCAAGGATACAGAAAAACATCACGTCGTCTGTAATCACCCGGACATTCTTGCCTAATCTCTAGATCTCATATAAAATCTTATTTGCCTCCCTGGTCAAAGATCCAAATCGTAAAGGAAATAAAAAGTCTGGAACAGGAACTCTTGATTTGGGGTCCATGAGAGGTCTTTAGGAAGACCCTCTTCTCCTGAAATTATACACACTGCTTTGACTACCTGTTCATTTTCCTGGGGAGAAGAATCTGCAGCTTTCATTAGGTCCTAAGTGTTGAAAACCACTGGCCTAGAATAACTTGGCCTTTGCACTTCAAACTCCTTCCTAGAAACTGGAATGTTTTAATCACACTGGAGTTTTAAGTATTGTAAACATACTTGAAGATGCTGGCCACACCTAGGTAGCCCTAGAATGTAGCCAACGGTGAGGACAATCCTTTAGAGAATTCAGTGGGAATTAGTTTTAAAAAATGGGTACTCCGAAGTGTGATTTCTGACTGGTGGGGCCGTGTGAAGCTACTCTCCACGGGGCCTGGAGTGCTTCCACAGATGGTGTAGGAGCACAGATGAGGGTCTCTCTCTCTCAGAAAAACAATCTGGATCTCACAGTGAACGCCTGAAGAATATAGCACTTCCCTTTCGATAGTGTGGGTAATCTTTCTATTCAGACCCAGAAACACTTCTGACACATGTAATTAATAAGTGGGTGGCTAATACGTTATAGGAGAAACTTCTTTCACGTACATAGCTCAAAAATTCAGAACAATGTCTACGAAGAGCTCATACTCAGAGGGCTCATGGTTAATCTATTCTGGTAGAATTCAGAGTGTAGGCAGCCTAATTAAAAACAGCCTCCAAGACGTAGAGCCAAAGCTTCCTAAAATCCCCTCCTAAATGTATATTTTCTTATTCAAGGAACACGTCTCGATGACCTAGATAAGGTCATATGGGTTTCCTTAAGGGAAGAGACCATGTCAAGTGACATGTGCCCAACATACAACTGACTGTATGATTGGGACTTTCATAACTGGTTATGAGGCTGGAGCATGATGGTAAGGAGTTGGATCG